GAGTCACAGACTCCTTGGCTCACCCAACGAATGAGACACTGTACTCCACAACCAGTGCTCTTAACTGCTGAGCCAGCACTGCAGTCCAGAACTTCCATTTCTAGAGGAAGACGAATTACAATGACCACAGCTGCAGAGTAGTTGAATGCTAGAGATGCAGAGAAGACACTTCACTGTAACCTTGCATGTTGTGAGGTTAGAGAGATGGTCCAGTGGTTTAAAGTACTTGGTCTTCCATAGGAAGGACAGGACCCAGGTTCAGTCCCCAGCACCCAGCACCTATGGCCCCAAACCAATTGTAACTCCAGTTACAGGGGATCCTACTCTCCTTATTCTGGCCTCTGAGAGCACCAGGCACAGTATGATACATGAAAAACACCCAAACATGAAAACTTTAAAAAAAATAAGATTTACATATTGTTAAATGTATTTTGAAAACATCCAAAGGTTAATATTGTAATTGTCTGCGTGAAATATGTTTTAAATTTCCTTACCATGTTTCTTTTTTTATTCTCTCTCACACATGAATTGTTATAGATCATTTTGTGACATTATTAGATCTATAATGTATCATGATCTTTCACTTTTAAGTGCATCAAAATTTATCTCCTTGTAAGGAAGGTATTCTTTCTTGAAAGTGCAAAGCAGTGATCAAAACTCAGGGATTCTCACATTGTTACTGTGCTATTATCTGTAATATAGATCATATTCCAATTCCTCTAACTGTTTGATTAATATTTCACATCCAGAATAAATCATTAGTCACTGTATTCTTCTAACCACCTTTTCTTTGGAATAAGTTTTGATCTTAGCATTTCTGGGCTGTGACTTTTTTGAAGTTATCTGTTAATAGTTTCAATATTCTATCTTTCAACATATATATATATATATACAACAAAAAGTAACAACCCTATCATTTTCTTTTCTCACAAGGAACAAAGTAACGTATTTAAGAAAAAAAATGTCATACTGTGATTTAGAAAGGCATTCATTATTACAGAGAAGAAAATATATACTTTTAATCCAAGCAAGCATATGAATAAATATGTGCTAATAACCCCTTGTGACGAAAATGATTTAAGCAGTATATTTTACGGCACATAGTGAGTATATACCATATTATTTATAACTTTACTGAAATCCATAACCAATGGAAAGATTAGAACATATTCAAATTTATTTCATTAAGTGTGTGAGACAGAAACATAGCTTTTAAAAGTGAATTGATTGCCCCTCAACTGTAGTTCACGACTCAAGTACATTCATCATCATTTAAAGGAAGCAACATCTATAAATTGTTCTTAGTTCAGATTAATTTTAAACTTGTTTTGCAAGCCAAATTATGATGCATAATATAAAACTCTTAAGTGGACATTAGGCTCCTCTCTGCTGCAGGAATGGACTTCCAGAGACTTTTGGGTTCTAACAGTCACAGTCTCCACACGATTTCTCTGAAGCTCAAATACACCGAAGGCATATGTCACATTCTGTGTAACCTTCAGGCATAAAATGATAGAAATGCAAAATGACTGATTCCCAGTCTCTAGTGAGGTTGTCAAGGCTTTCTACTTCTCCTGCTTGCGTGTGAGTTAGGAAGAACAGAGTGGTAGATTTGATGTCTTCTCAGTGGGTTAGAACTTAAGATTAGGTGTGGTCATCCACATCAGTTTAGTCATTCAGTGTCAAATTGTTGATGGCTCAGGTTATCATGGCATCTGCATCCTGGCTGCATCACTAATGCTATTCCTCTCTGGCATCCTTGTGGTACAGCTCTAAAGGCTCTTGGTTCCCCACTGTATTGCTCTGCTCCTTTGTCCAGTGTTGGGTGGCTGGGGGTGTGGGCTGTGTTCCACGAATGTTCTTCAGTGCTTTAGCATTTTGTTGGTTCAGCTTTCTCGTGAGTTCAAGTCCTGTAGTGCACACATAACCTTTGATGCTACATGGTTTGGAGCCACACACTCTAATGTGGTAAAGTAATTAAAGCAATGTTTTATCTCCTTGTTTTAGTAGATGTAAACACCGTTGTGCAAAGCTCTTCCTAGACTTTTGGAATAATATTCACTGTCTTGTTTGAAGCTGTTACCTGTTATTTTATAATCAGGATGATTTTCTGAAATAAAACCCTACACATAGCAACCACTAATACTTTATGATTATACTTTTAAAACATTTAGGTGTTTTTATTTTTATAGGTACATGATGTCTAGATGATATGTCAGCATTTATTGTCTATTAATACAAAATTGCTCATTCAGATACTTGTGTCCTTTTAATCAACCATTTTTTAGGTGCTTGAAATGTAGCTTTGTCATATGATGCAAAATGCTGAAACTTTAAGGTACATTTCTATTTCATTCACCACTATGTTTGCAGAATGAATATCCACTGCCTTAGATAGTATAGACCTATGTTTTTCTCTCATGTGTGGTGACCTCTTTGTACATCTTTATAAGGGAAACCTCCCATATCTGAAATCTTTAGCATGAGGAGCCCTTAGGGAAGGGTCTTGGAAGAGTCTATGTACCCCAGTGGTCTTAGTAAACTGGTCATTTCTTGTTTCTAATGTAAATGGAGCCTTAACACACCCCCTCTGTTTCTACTTTTTTGTGCCTAAATTCAGATCTATTAGTATCTCAGCTTTGTGTTAAGCCTGCTAAGCTAAAATCATCATATTAATGTTAAAGATTGTGCTGAGTACTGAGCCAGTAGGGACACTTGGGGCCTCACAACATGGTTTTTCCCCAGCCTTTACCTCCTAACATTTTTCCCTCACTTCCTCATTTCCTAGTAATGGCAGGCTTTCAACTTTCTGAAGTAGGTGTGTTTGCTTGGAAGTTGGTAAGGAATGGGAAATTGATTTGGATTAACTCTCTGCTTTTCTGTTTAGTTTACTGTGATCCCAAGTTACACAAATATACAGAGTGGGGTAGGAGGAAGATAGAGGAGTGGAGAGAAGAGGAGAAGGAAGGAGGGAGGGAGGGAAGGAGGGAGGGATGGAGGGACGAAAGGACAGAGAGGCTCTACCTCTCTGTAGAAGAGGAGAGGATGGAGGGGAGAGGGAGAGACTGAGATTTTTGGCCAATTCATGGTGTCCTAGTACTTCACAATTAGAATATGACTGCTCTAATCCTGTTTTCCTGTGTGTAAGGTTGGCAGGAGGGAAACACACAAGAGAACACGTGAGTCAAAGACAGTACAGGCTTTATTTAGGATTAACCCCCAGATGAGGGGGGAATCCTCTAGAACAGGGATTCTCAACATTTGGGTCTTTACACCTTTGGGAGTTGGACAATCCTTACGCACGTTTGCCTAAGACCATGAGAGAACACAGACATTCACATTACAATTTGTAGCAGTAGAAAAATTCGAGGTATGAAGTAGCAACAAAAATAGTTGTTATAGTTGTTATACTTGGGAGTCACCACAACATATAAAAGGGTTGCAACATGAGGAAGGTTGAGAACCTGCTCTGGAATAAGTAACCAGAGCCATTACAGAGTGGTAGGGTAGTAGCTTCCAAGTTGGCATAGTTATACAGAAGAAACGTGGAAGATAGGAGGGATTTGATAAGGACTACTTTATATTGACTAACTGTGATAATTTGTCTATCAAATATAAAGCAATATAAAGTGAAATAGCTCTGACTCTATTGCAAACAGGAGGACATTAAAGCTCATAAATAAGGGACAGTCTTCTGGACGAGACATTGCTAATTGCTAATTATCCTCCCATTTGAAGCTGGTTTTAAACCTGTAACTGTTGTCTTATCACATTCAGCTCCAACTGGAAAACTATAAGCTGTAGAATGCAGAATTCTCAACTTGTTTTCTTAGATTGCTCTTTTCAGTCCCCATATCATCCACAAATTCTGCTGTGTGGTGTCTGCTGGGAGGGCAGTCTAAGTCAGAAAGAAAGTGCCGCAAGGGCCATGTTACCACCACGTGTTAGGTTTGCCCTGCTTACATATACGATTACACTTAACACTGACAGCAGTGCCACAGCAGAGTTACGAGTTACGATGCTATGAAATCATCCCAATGTATGATTTCACGATCCTGATTTTACAAGTGTTTCCAAAAAGACACTTAGATAATAGTCGGTGAATGAACATTGCATTAATTTTAGTATTTAGTCACTTGGAAAGTTGCTTCAAACTTTTTCTTCTCAGTATTTTCATTGATATATTGCCTAGGCAAGTTAAATGGCCTATATCCTGCTAGCTCATGTTCATAGTAATGAAATAGTATTATATACACACACACATGCAAATATATACTATATATATTATGTATTGTAAATATAGCATATTTTAAATATATAATACATTATATATCCTATAATTTTAGTGTATATATATATATTATAGTATAATCATAGCATGTATAATATACAAACAAAATTTTTTTCATTTTTTTAAATTTTCTTAAATCAAATTGTAATTTGTACTTATTCACACAGGAGTTATAAACACAAAAAGGCAGGATGTGGGAAAGGGGATGATACCAGAGCATAGGTGTTCAGGGGGAGTACAGATATCTTTCAGAACAGGGTATCGGCTGGGTGAAGGTTCAGGCGACAGGTCACTATGACTCTGCCTATGATTCACTTGTCCTAATCTAAATTGGTATTATCCACCAAGGCTACCTATTTACAAGGTCTATGACTACTCAGGCTGGTAAATTTCCACAAAAGCTGCCTGTTTACAATAGCTTATAGCCATCTCTTTCAGTGTTTTTCCACAGAGACCCAAGACTTTGTGTTAGCATGCATACACATAAAATTTTGGCAAGAATATTAAGTACAATTTAGTTAAGGTCATGATTAATAACATTTTTACATGTTAAAGAACATTTATAGATAGTAATCCAAATTGTAGTATATTAATAAATGATATGGTGAGTTATTTTGTATTGATAGGATCATTGTTCATTTATCTAAACCTATGCTTTTAAGGCATATAGGTGATATAATTAAAATAAACTGTTTCTTCTTCTCCCTAGCTCAGTCCATTTTTAAGACATTCTCTTCTGAAGAGAACATACAATGTCACTCTGCCGTGCTCATCCTCTCCTAATAGAGAAAACACTGGTTGTCCGTCACAAAAATCCAGACCAAAGTTTCAAAGAGAGAAATTAGAATATACTAACTGGTAAGTATGCTGGAAAAACAGAGTCATGAAGAGACATGCATGTAACATGCACTTTCATTGTGGTATAGATGTCTTCATCAGATCCTTGACTTCCTTCAAGGTGATTAGCCTGGTTTATGGTACTAAGCAGTCAGTAAGAGGTTACAGGGAAAAATCAGCTTCGTGCTTCTACATTAGACTGCTAATCTGGTTATAATACTCTGTTTTTCTTTTTGTTTTTTTATGGCAAGACAGAGGAGTTACCTTAACATGATTAAGTTATGGAATCTTAATTAGTTAGTCTTCCAATACAAAAAAGTGTATTATAATAAATTATAATAAATTCATATTGTGCTTGTGCCAGATATTTTGGGATTGTATTATATAGCAGAATGAATATCTTCTGGATAAATTGTACCTCTGGGTACATTTAGACAAACAATGGATATTCTCTTAGAAAGCAGTAGCAGGTAGCTTGCTAGCTGTAAGCTAACCACTGAATTCCTCACAATGACTATGATAATAGCTTGGGCTTTGCTTATTAATTTTGTAATGTCAGATAGGACTTAAACAGATTGATACTGCTGTATCTAAAGATTCTTTCCCATTTCAGTGTTTGTACTATTAAGATGTATTGTACTTCAGGGCTTGAGTATTTTTATATTAACTGTTACAGAACTAGATTATAAATGAACAAGTTATTTATCATATTAGTAAACATCTAAAGCTACAAATTCTGATACATCACAGCCTATTAGAGAAACAAATCAAATTCTTGATTAGTATCATTGAGATCAAATATAAATAACTCTTATATTTATATTTATAAAGATTAAGAATATCCAAGTAATAGTATTTTATATTATGTGCTGGAAAATATTTCAGACATCTTAAGCTAAATAAAAATTCTGGGTTTTATTTCTTGACTTTCTTGTAGTAAGTATAAAAGTATCTGTGGCTAAGAAATTCTATTGGCCAATAATGATCTAGATTGTAATATCCACATTTTAGATGAATGACCCCATAAGTATTTTGTATAGAAAAGTAATGTCCTTGTTTTATTTTAATTTTTGGAAAATGTTTTTGCTAAAATAAAAAAAAAACCTAACATGGAAAATATTTTCTTTCCGCATATCAAAATCGCCAGTATCTGTCTCCCAGTCTCCTAACGAGCTGTTCTTGCTTTGAAGATTATGTCTTTTATCTGTTTTCAGAGCATCAGAAACAAAACAAAACAACAGCCCACACACAGACTTAATCTTCCTACATTTTTTTGCCTTCAGCTTCTTCCACAATTTTCTTTGATGTTTACTAATATTCGGCTTGGTGTAATTTGGTAGGGTTTTTTTAGTTAGCCATAAAAATTATAGCGTATTATATTTTCAAGTATTGCTGTTCTATATCCTTTCTCACCCTAACTTCCTAATCTGATGGCAAGCATTTTTGTCCTATGTTTAATGAATCCCACATGTTGTCATATGCATTGTAATTCTTTTATTTATATTTTGTTCTCTGTTTAGTTAAGAACGTCCTGTAGCTCGTCCACCTTTCATCATTAACTTGAAGATAAGTACATATACTGTGTTCTTAATTTAAATTATGTTATAGTTTCAATTCCAAAACTCCCCTTAGACAATTATGTACAAGCTTTGTCTTTTTGGCATTGAGCATCTCACTTACCATGTTTAAACCACAGAAGGCAGCCCCTACTCCGATTGAGATTTGGCTCTGCATACAGCATCTGTCTACCTTCTATTTTCTGTCTCTTCACCATATCTGACAGAATGGCTAATTGATTTTTGTCAAATCAATGATGCTTATGGAAACTTACCACATGGTTGATGTTCTGATGTAAATGTTCCTCTAATTCAGAGATGTGTACAGGGATGTGCACGTGGCTGATACCAGCCTCTTTAGAACACGGCTCCCTCACTTGTCAGGGGTCTCATCACTCACTTCTCAGGCGCTAACCCTCTGTCACCTCGGGGGCAGTCAAAGGTTCACCATGTCTGTCTTCTGTCTGTTTTCCTCCTCCTTGTACAATGGTTAGACACCATGCCACTGCTGAGATTTTTAGCTGTCATTTTTAATGCTACTTTTTGGTGTGCTGGCCACATGCACACAGATTTTGACAAATACCTTCCATTAGAGAGCAGTACAATGTGGGGTTCTCACGCATTCTTCCGTCTCTTCAGGTTCTGCCTGGAGGACCCTGAGAATGGCAGAATAATGAGCTTAAACTCTTACCCATTTTGTGAATGATTTCTCTCTTTTGAAAGTTAATTAATGTTTTACTTATTCACCTTACATCTCACTCACTGCCCCCTACAGGTCACCTCCTCCCACAATCCTTCCTCCATCCCCCTCTCATTCTCCTCTGAGCAGATGGGTACCTCCCTAGGTATCCCCCCACCAATCCTGGCACACCAAGTCTCTGTGAGACTAGGCACCTCCTCTCCTACTGAGGCCAGACAATGCAGCCCAGCTAGAACGTATCCTATATATAGGCAACAGCTTTTGGGATAGCCCCTGGTACGGTTGTTCGAGACCCATGTGAAAACCAAACTGCACATCTGCTACATTATGTACTTGTGAAGAGAGGCCTAGGTCCAGCACGAGAATATTCTCTGATTGGTGGTTAAGTCTCTGAGAGCCGAAGGGTCCAGGTTAATTGACTCTGTTGGTCTTCCTGTGGAGTTCCTATCCCCTTCAGGGCCAACGATCCTTCCTCCTATTCTTCCATAAAAGTCCCCAACCTCCGTCCACTGTTTGGCTGTCTGTGTCTGTCTGAGTCAACTGCTGGACGGAGCCTCTCAGAATGATTTCTTACCTCCTCAGCATTGCCCTATTGGCTCCCTCACAGGGAACACAAGGGTTGCCTTGAGTTGGTTACTCCTTATCTTTCTCCTCAGGTTCCTGGTTCTTCTGGCTATCTCTGTGGCCTCCTTCTTGATGTGTATTTAGGCAAAAAAAAGTTCTTAGTAATAAGATTTTTCAGGTACATAGTCTATAATATATTGCTCATTGTCATATCTAAATTTTCTTATTATCATAATTCTTCAATCATTTCTCTTTTATGTATCAACAATTCCCAAAACCCAGTATCTTCACTAGACATTTACAACTGAAAAAAAAATCTTATAAACTCACTGTCTTCTAGTCTTCTGTAAGGATCTATTCTCTTTAAGTTAGCATTTCTATTCACTGGTTAAATTCACCATTACAGATAAACAAGAGGCCCCCCTAGAGTCTTCTCCGTGTTTAGACATGTTTAGCGTTGTCAATGCAAACCCTCTGAAAAAACTGCCAGATTTCCATGTAGGAATATTTTGCACTCCAGTAAATATGATGCCACTTGGAGTCTCCATCTTTAATTAAATTTCTGGGGGGAAAGCAGATGTTTAATTATGACGCAGTTAGAAGGAAGGTTAATGCTCCGCTGAGCTACTGTACGAACTCTCAAGGAGATGAGTGAGTGAGCTGATGTGTCCAAACGCTGTCACCAATCCAGCCTGAGTGCGTGTAACAGGAGAGGAAAGCGAGGCAACAGAGCAGTGTCCTGTGCTTGAAGGTTAGAAAACAATCAATTCTCGGTTGGAAAGTCACGTCAGATGGTCAGAGCTCTCATACTCCCAGTTTTCCCTGTATCAAGTCCTATGTATTCAAGGGTTCCTTGCCATACAAGGTATCAAAGCACTCTTTGTTACGTGTAACCTCACAGACACAAAGCTTAGAAAAGGCTATCATGTCTCCACAGATGAATCCTAATGGAGCTTCGTATACACTGTAAACATATTATATAAGTAACTGCACTGTTCTTATTGTTGCTGTAGCACTGGGAATGACCTCTGCTCCCAGACCATTTGTCCCTCCTAAAAACCAGTGTATTAAGTTATACCATAAAAGAATTAAGAGTGTATTTGCTGGAGTTCCCTCTTGACTCTCTCTCGGGTTCTCTTGTTAGATGTGTTACTCTTGTGATACAGTATCCACATGGTTGGAGGTGCAAATCACACACTAACATTCATTTTTATGAAGCCCCAGTCTCCAACAGACCATTAGTACAACCTAAAGGCCACGTTTGTGAGGAGTGACTACTTGAAGATACTTAGTCAATTGTTTGGTTTTTTTTAAATAAAGAAGCACATTTTAAAATGTATTCCACAGTTAGGATGTATGGCTAAACCGCTACACTGGTTCCTTGTTTGAAATAATAAGAAGCAATCAGAAAGTATATTTTGGCTCAGGTAGACACATATATGAGAGAGACACAACTTACTGAAACAACTTTTCTCTCCTCACAGATACATCCCAAAGGCAGCATCATATAACCCAAGGTAAACTGGCAGTCTCCTCTCAGAGATGTACTTCCGCTGTGGTGACATCCGTCATCAACTGCTCAAAGAACACAGCCTCCATTCTAACCTCTACAGGAAAGTCTGCTGCCGCCGTAGCATATATAATACTATTTTTCTAATTGCATTCTTTGAAACATATACGTTTGGTGCCTCCATACGAAGGAGTTAAATAATGACATTGGATGAAAGCTTTTCTTTTTTAACTTTAAAATCTCATCTCTCACCAGAGAATGCAGTGACGCTCTGAACACAAAGCATGCTAAAGTAAAGCAAATCCTGTTATTGTGTGTATGTCCTACCCTCCTGACTAATTTTCTTATGCTCTGTTTCTCTGAAATTCAAAAAGTATAAAATAAAAAGAATCACAAAAGACTGTTTACTATGTCTCACTTTTTGTTTATTTTATGGACAAGTAGGAGAACAAGAAAAAGTAATTAAATAATCACAAACCCTTCCCATGGCCTATTGTTTGGGAAGATGGATATTCATTTGTTTTCTTCAGCAGAAGTATATGAAAATCTTTATGGGTTAGCTTACGGCAATTCTGTACATGTTGTAACATGTGCTTCTATGATGCTGATTATTATCTTTGATTCCTAGTACTCAGTAAGTATTTCTGATACAGTTGATTTGGTGGTAATGAATTTTCTAAATTTATGTTTCTTTTTAAAAAAGTGTTTTTTACTTCAGTTTTGAAGGCTGGTTCTGCTGGGTGCCATCACCATGGGTGGCAGGATCTCAAGCAGGTGATGCTGACCTGTGGGCTTTCCATTGAGAACTATGCTGGAAGTCTAATGGGAAGTTCATTGTGTGTGGCTTGACACAGGGCTCTTCATATTTTTGAGTCTATCTTCTCTTATAATTTTGAGCACAGCATACATAAATGTCCATTTAGGGTAACTCTACTTGGTTTTGTTCCTTTGAGCTGCTTATGTATAGATATCCATCTCTCTGAAACTTTTTCAAATCGCTAGGCTTCATTTCATGTGAATTTTCTATTCCTGTTTTCTTAACCTTTTGAAATTATGGTAATGGGAAAAATTAAGTTGATGGTATTTCATCTCATATATCTTGGGTTTTGTTTTGTTTGTTTTTATTTTTTTAATCTCATCGAGTCCCAGTATTTCCTTTCTTCTTTTGCTTTACTTGGCTCGATTAACTCAAAAGACTTGTTGGGTTCTGAAATGCTCTCCTTTTTCTAGTCAAGAGAAGAACAAATGTTATTACACTGATTGCAAACTTGGCTCCACAGTTCAGACATTTCAAAATACGTACATCTCTTTGTTGAATTTTGGATTCATATTCTACAGTATTTTAAACACTTATTCGTATTGCCTATCTGTTCTCTTGGCATCTTGAAAGTTTCCTTAGAATCTTTATTTTGAATTCCTTTTTTGAATATTGGCATTTGAAGTATACTACTGGAAAAATTACTGTTGTTCTCCTTTAGAGAAAGAAACCACATTTCCTTTCACATGTGGTTTCTTGTGCTATGGTCTAGTCTTATGTTCTGGTGGTCACTTTTTCCAATCTTGGGAGGTGGCTTTTGTGGGAAAACAGTTTTGTTGTTAGGTGGGATATAGGGCTTCAGTGGAGTGGGTCCTTCAGCTTTGAAATAGAGAAAAATCTAAGTTTGGTTTTGATATTATTTCCTCATTTTTCACAATACTGTCAGTATCTTCAAGTGTATCCTTTATCTAGAATACAGCAGGAAATAAAGTTAGTAACGAATTTTGCCATGGATATGAGGTTACATACATGTACATCTCCAGTTTCAATGAAATGAATATGTGATGACATTTGGTTGTGTCCAGCAGCTACTAAAGTGTCAATGTGTGGAAATACCATCTATTCCAAAGTCCCTTGAGAAAAATATCAGTAATGTCAAATATTATAATGCCAGCATGCATGTTCACTGGGCTGAAACATGGAAAGGACGTTTTATCCAGGAACTTCATAATGAATCACAGGTTGCTCTTGGCACCAGCAGTTATAGCTCTGGAACTACAGAAGGGGTGAGTGTGGGTAGGGCTTAAGCTTGTGGCTAAGAAACCTGCTGGACCTAAAACTACAAGATACTGATCGAGGTTACAGCAGAACGTGGTTCAGTTTCCATCAAGGCCCAGCTGCTAGCACCTAAAAAATACTAGAACCCTCTGCAGCTGTTTGGCTTCTATAAGATAAAAGATACATAAAGTAGGTTCCTAGGTAGCAAAGCAGATAGGAAACCTACCAGGCAGGCCCCCACAATGAATGCACTTTGCGACCATGGAATTCTCCAGCAGTTAAGTTCCCTGCCTGGTGCTATGACTGGGGCTGGTGATTCTGTTCAACTTGCCTTTTACCTGTCAGAACTAGGGAATTATGGTTGGAATTTGTTGTCTGTTTCTTGCTTGTTTGTTTTCCCTTTACATTACTTTTCTATCTCTCCTTACTATTAGGTTTTCAGGCACTTCTTTGACTATATACAGCATTCTCCCTTTCTCCCAATCAGACTCCAAATTCAGTTTCCTTGTGTGGCTTTGGTTCCTGCTTTGTCAGATTCATGCTCATGCCATCCAGAGTGCAAGTTTACATATTAAATCTCAAAAGCTTGGCAGATGCTCTGCTACAAGTACTGTTTTGGAAAACAAATTAGTCACCGAGAAGGATTTAAGTCATTGCTCTATTTCAGAAGGATCATTGACACTTTTAGATTTGATAAAAAGCTACAGAAATTACATAGATAGTAAATGAGTTACCCATGTATTTGAAAATTAATGTAATTTCAAAAAATTCAAGTGCTTTGGAGATGTTCCAATTTTAATTCACGACAATTTGTTGCAAAACAGCCTCATTAATTTATCTAAGATGAATCACTAATGATTAAAACAACAAACAATGAAACAGGATAACTCCTCAATG